GTGAACTCTTTTGGCCATCTCAGCTAGTGTGTTCACCATTGCTCTGTTGCTCTCAACATATTCCTCTCTTGGTCTCCTGCAGGTCTGTGGTGGGTTATACATCACTGCAATGACTACCTTGTGTCCCCCAGACTGAACTGAACCTATGTAATCCCTTTCTCCAATCTCGTCCATTCCTTCCGTTTCCTCAAATCCCTATTGGTTTTTAATGAGCAGTGCAACCCCTCCTCTCCTGCTGCTCCTTCTATGTTTCCTCAGAATCTGATATCTGGGTGGGAAGTTTGAATCTGTTATCGTCCCAGTGAGTTTTTTTCTGTGACTGCTATGATGTCTGGAGACATATACTTGATTCTTTCATGCCACTCCTCACATTTATTTCTTATTCCATCTGCATTTGTATACCAAACCTTCAACTTCTTTTCTAAAACTGTGGTCTGGGGAGAATGGTGGGGTTGGGAAGTGGGAGGCCTGGTGAGGGCCTATGGGAGGATGCTGTGGGGTGGGGTTTGTGATGAGGGGGTGGGGGCAGAGGGAACAGTGTGTGGGTTCTGGTTTAGATTGTTCGGTTGCACTTGGGTCACTGTGCTTGGATTCCTTCTGTGGGTGGTTCTGGAGGAGGTTGCGTTTGCCCTAATACCTGGGTCTGGGTTCTCCTGCTCATCTCTGTCATAGCCTCTCTTTCTTCCTTTCATCTTTGTACCCTCTCTTTCAGGAGTTTCCTTTCTTCTTGTGTTCTGTCTCGGTTAAGGTACACTTTCCTATACTCCGGTGTGTCCCTTAGTCATGCTTTCTCCTGCAGAATCCTGTTTCAAGCTGATTCTGCCTTGAAAATCACTTTGGCCGTTTTTTTCCTATTGTGTATATGTATGAATGGTTACTTGTTTGAGTGTTAGTTTTGGGTTTGAGTGTGTGTGCGTGAATGTGTGAATGCAGTATGTGTGTGTTATGCATGAGTGTAAGTGTATGGATATGTACTCACCTAATTGTGGTTGCAGGGGTCGAGACTCAGCTCCTGGCCCTGTCTCTTCACTGAGTGCTACTAGGTCCTATCTCTCCCTGCCCCATGAGCTTTATTATACCTTATCTTAAAGCTATGTATGGTTCCTGCCTCGACTACCTCACTTGCTAGGCTATTCCACTTTCTGACTACTCTATAACTGAAGAAATACTTCCTAACATCCCTTTGAATCACCTGGGTCTTCAACTTCCAATTGTGACCTTCATAGGATATTCCCCTTAGCTCTGGAACTAACCTGATCACAATCCTTTGCACTTTCTCTAATTTCTTGATGTGCTTGATCAAATGTGGGCTCCAAACAGGTGCTTCATACTCCAACATGGGCCTGACGTACACGGTGTACAGTGTCTTGAACGATTCCTTACTAACGTATCGGTACGCTCTTCTCAGGTTTCCCATGCTCTATATGCTGCAGCAGTTATCTGGTTGTTGTGTGCTTCCGGAGACGTGCTTTGTGTTATACTCACCCCAAAATCGTTTTCCTTGAGCGAGGTTTTGCAGTCTTTGGCTACCTAGCCTATACTCAGTCTGCGGTCTTCTTTGCCCTTCCCCGATCTTCATTACTTTGCATTTGCATTTGTGTGTGTGTGTGTGTGTGTTTGTGTGAGTGTATTAGGGGTTCATGAGTGCGAGGGTGGTTCCTGCTTATTTAGGCCACTAATGGTTAGCAGGCTGTGTGTGCATGTGTGCCTTGTGTGTGTGTGTGTGTGTGCGTGTGTGTGTGCGTGTGTGTGTGTGTGTGTGTGTGGAAAATACTGTATACATTTTCCAGAAATACAGAAGTTATATGTAAATAGATGGCCATACTGTATTTAATAATATTTATGTCATAAAAAATGGGAAACTTTCTGCACCTGGGCAGAAAGACAGTCGCCATTTTGTTGTTTGAATTGAGTAACAGACAATAGTAATGGGAAGAATTTTTCGTGCTCTAGAGGTTAAATTTGGGCTGACACCTCTCAAATAGGAGCTTAAATTGTTGGATGTGCATTTCTGCATAACTTGAGATATCAGGCGACAGGACAGGACAACTTCAGGAACCTCAGATAAGCTGTCTAATTTATGTTTAAATTCTGGCCAGTAAATTTTTTATAAATGTGGGCAAAAGGGGGGGTCCTGTACATGACACATTAATCTCCAGTCAAATTGGTGAGTGTTATGATTAAGATATATTCTCCTTCTGTTATATAAATGTATATGTGTATATATATAATCCTTTATTAATTTAATATACAGTCCACAAATTTATATATTTACCAACATTCCTGGTGTATGTATATTTCATTTATAATTAATAGGTCCAGAGCAACTTATGTATATGACAGTGGTAGGTATCGAAGGGGGACATTTTTTGCGACCTAGGTGTCCCAAATTCCTACTTGTCTAACTGATAAATAATAATTATCTTTGTTCATTTACTGTTATGTACATAATGATACATTCAGATAAATGCAATTTTCCACAGTGTGTGTGTGTGTGTGTGTGTGTGTGTGTGTGTGTGTGTGTGTGTGTGTGTGTGTGTGTGTGTGTGTGTGTGTGTGAGTCACTTTGTATGTACACACTGTGTGCATTAAGTTACTGTCAGTTCCAAATCCTTCTTGTCCTGTTCCTGAACATTAAAATGGTATAAAATACCGACAGGTTGTTAGGTAAGACACATATGCAACAGTTAACTGTTGCATATGTGTCTTACCTAACAACCTGTCGGTATTTTATACCATTTTAATGTTCAATCTGTCAGACACTGCAACACAAGGGTATCTTGGTACAGACCTGCAATCAACTTCGACAACTTCCACTAGTGAGAGCGGCTGGATTTGAGAGGGACCTGACCTTTCAACATCTGAGTTCTTACCTCTCCTAGTGGCCTACGTCTCACCTCTTGGCGCTATAAAAGCTCCATTCTGTCACTTCATCTCCATATTGTTTCATACTATGGAACAATGCTCTTCTCCAGACTGAGGGACTGACCACCTCAAAACTTTAAGGGTGATGGACTGATTACATCGTCTTCAAGTATCTTCTGCTTCTATCAACTTTTCTGTACTTGACTGAAGAAGCCTACTGTGTAGGCGAAACGTTTCATAATAAAGATACCTAACTGTTGCATATGTGTATTGTCCTGTTCCTACATTTATTTTGCAGATATGTATGTGTATATGTGTGTCTGATCTTAGTACCTCCACGTGCACTCACTAATGTGTGTGTCGACCTAGTATGTGGTACCACCACCTTAGTCTCTCCCCAGCTTTTCTCCCTTACTAAATGTTAAGTGCTCTGTGTACGATATTCAGCTCTCCAAAGCAGGGTTTATGACCCCCAGCTATTAGTGATGCAGGATCAGATGCCAGTCTCACATGCAACCACAAAAAGGTAATTTCTACATTACGTCTGGAAGGTGTGTTGTCTGTATCCCAGCTCAGTTGCAGCTGCATGATGATTTTCATTGTGGCATCACTCCTTGCTCCTAGCCTCTCTTTCCATTTTTTCTTCACTGTATTTATATTCACATCAACTGTACTACAAATACTGCTTTAGGATTTCTCTATACTATCAGGTGAACAATTGAACCTCTTATTGAACACACGTATTTCAGGAAAAACACCATTTAATTTTTTCCATTTTCTTTCCCCTCACTCTATGCTTGTTTTATTATTCACTAACTCATCTGTTCTTATCTACTAGGCTTGGGTCACACTTATTCTGGTTGAATTTGCCGATATTGGCTTGTGGCAATGCCACCTACACCCACACTGGCCTCCGACCTTTCTCTCTTTCTCCTGGCATTGATTCCACTTTTAAATCATTTTATATAAATTGTATCCTTCACCTCTCTTTTCTGATTTGGGGCAGCTCTTATATCACTTCTTGGGTTCTTCACTGACACTGACAACTTTCGGTGATCTTTGTAATGACCTTGGTGGGGCAAAAACCACTAAAGATTCACGAACGCTGTATGATGTGCGCTCATCTAGGCCAAGTGCCTAAGTTGTAGTATTTCCTCTCTGGATAACAACACTGATTTTTTGGAAAAGAGAGGTCGCCGCTCTGGGGTCTTCGGTTTCCAGTGACTTATTTTACTTCTAACTCGTTCAGAAATTTTTGTTTACTTACCCTGTGTTCTGAGGGACTCTGATCCAATCCCAAAGAAGTTATCGAATGGTCCTAGCCGATTTATTTGTTGATCTTATGTCTCCCGTAGCTCAATCGCTAGTGCACTCAGCTCAAACACTGAGGTCCGGGGTTTGAATCTTCTCTGGTACGGCTGGAAAACATTAGGGACATGTTTCCATAAGACACCTGCTGTCTCTGTCCCTGTTCACCCATCAGTGTTAAACGGGTACCTGGGTGTTAGTCGACTGGTGTGGGTCGCATCCTGGGACAAAATTGACCTAATTTTCCCGAAATGCTCAGCATATCAAGAGTCTTTCTGTGTAGTAGTATGTCATTGATGTCAGCTAGACCTGTGTACCTTGTACATGTACTAGTAGTAAATAAAGGTATTATTAAGGAACCATCTTCCTTTAGCTTCGCTGTATCGTAAGTGTCGGCCATTGTAAATGCACAAGTGTAACTCAATATTATATTGTTTTTTTCCAATGTAACATGAAGACTCCATCTGGGCGCTTCTGACTGTCATTGGATTTGGTTAACTTGGGTTCCCATTCCGATGAATATTTTGTTTTGAGTTCGAGGTAGGGTTATGCCTCGAAATATTTGCAGGCCAAATGACAGGGAAATGTTTGATGACCAGTTCGAATCTTCAAGAACAGATTAATTGATCACTCTCAACTTATAAATGAAATCCTTTGAGGAAGGATAAAGACTCTGTTAATAGTTATTTGGTACCCATTTGGAGATATTTAATAATGTCTCTTAAGAAAGTTAATTCAAGAATCTCTCAATAAATGTGTAAATAAATACCTGAGGATATAGATAATGTGTGCTGAAATGATACTCGCTTCATGACCAAGCTTTAAATAATACTTAGTTAATTATTAGATTCAACAATAATTGAAGAGGACATAGAGGATTTACAAGCAAAACAATCTGCCAAATCTACCTCATCTTGTGACTGCTGCAGTTCCTGCTTGAGGAGCCACAACGAGCTCCCACATAACTCAACAACGACACATCGTATAAAGTATGCCCTCTCCTGCCCGCCCCATGGAAAAGTAAGGATTATAATATTAATTAATCAGGATATGTGTTGCATGAAATATAAATATTTTTGGATTTTTTTATTATTTACATTCGCTGTTCATTTCAGATATGTGATAATGATTCGGTAAATAGTCAAAATTTCTTAATAACAGTATTACTTTTTATTTTTTTTTATAATACACTGAATATTATTTAAACAATTATAACATAACATTATGTATTAAAATTCCTTTTTTTTTTATTTTAATCAGTTTGGAGATTGTCTCACATGGGTAGTGTTTGGCCTGGCTTCCTGGGGCTGCCTCATCTGTGTTACATGGGAGATGGCTCTTCCTGGCGGAAAGTTATTTAGTCTCCTCTTACTGTATGTGATGGCGCTGCTGGCTGGGATGATGGCCGACTTTGTAGGCCTACCGTCGTTACTTGGCAGCTTGGTAATGGGAATACTTTTCAGCAGTATTCCTGGGATAAAGGCTGTTGGACATAATATTGATATCTATTATTCGTCTGTTCTGAAGTAAGATTTTTTACGTGAAGCACTGATTAAATGTTAAACTTTTATACATTATTAATTTTATAATGATTTAATGAATACAACTCCAACGTGCTGTTGGAGTGTGAGCAAAGTAACATTTATGAAGGGATTCAGGGAAACCGGCAGGCTGGACTTGAGTCCTGGAGATGGGAAGTACAGTGCCTGCACTCTGAAGGAGGGGTGTTAATGTTGCAGTTTAAACTGTAGTGTAAAGCACCCTTCTGGCAAGACAGTGATGGAGTGAATGATGGTGAAAGTTTTTCTTTTTCGGGCCACCCTGCCTTGGTGGGAATCGGCCAGTGTGATAATAATAAAAAAAATAAAAAACTTTATTCATGGTATGTGTGATTATAAATTATAATTACAGTACTTTCTTTAAACATTCATTAATCCAAACATTCTTCCTCTGAATGAGTCATTACTAGATTATCCTAAATTACGACGACTGCAGTAAATTTATGTTCAAAACTTGGTAACCAGAAAATAAAATTATATAGATTCATTTCAGAGAAAATACCTCGAGTTTATAATGTAATTCAGAGAGTTTTTGTTTTAAGTTTCGTATATTGTAATGTTGTGTCCGTAATCATTCTTGTGAAGAACGTGAAGAACGTTAAATTAATATAATATAGACTACTCAACTCAAGTAGTTCCTAAACTTTTAAAAAGTTCACGAATAAATGAAAAAAGAAAAGTTTCCATCATAAAATTATATATTTAAAAAGGTTTCATCTTTAGTTTTCTAAAAGTTTATCTGCCGCTTCGTTGAGTGAGGTGACTATCCTGGTGAAGTGCTCTTTATCCATGGAACTGGAGTTACCTTTACCTTCCAAGTATCAAACCTGATCATCTCCCAGACTGCAAGTATTGCCACTTTTCTATATACATAATAATTGGCACTTCTGAGAGTGACTCTCTTATCAATTAATATATCATTTAATTTTCCAGGGACATTGCACTTACAATTATATTAATACGTGCTGGACTCGGACTGGATCCCGTCGCCCTCAAGAAGTTAAGTTGCACTGTACTACGCTTGGCGCTCTTTCCTTCTTTAGTAGAAACAATTACAATAGGTACTGCATCAGTGTTCTTCCTTGATCTTCCCTGGAGTTGGAGTCTTATGCTTGGGTAAGTACCTATGTTTTTCATTTATACATATTCTGATTTTAATTTTTTCGTAACTAATATCCGCTAGATATTTGTTCATTTACACTTACGATATTATAGATTTTTCTGTGTAATTATTCATAAAGCTGTCGAATCATTTCATGTTATGCCTTTCATTGATTTTGATTAGCACTTTTAGATTAAATATTTAGTAAAATAGGCTAATGCTTACAGTGATATAACAGGAGTTCTCCACCTGGTAAACGCAACAAATAACACAAATTAACAGGCGCAAATATTGAACTTAGAAACAAATTAAAAACATCTGTCGTGCCTACAATTGTTAAAATACAAGGAAAGATTTTTTTTTTAAATTGGAAACCTCGTGTAAATATGCTGTCCATTTCTCAGGGTTGATTTATTGCTCACCTGGTGGGATTACCTTTAAATCATTATCTTTGAAAGTGATCAGATTTCAGGTCATTTATCGTACTTTATTCTTAAGAAATTCAATATGAAGAAGGTTCAGGTCACAGTCCTCGGTGAGGTATGATGTGTAGCCAAGTTTTCTTTACACTCTTATTCACCTAACAGTAAAAATAGATACCTGTGTGATAGCCATCTGTTATGAGCAGCATCAGTTGAAAACTGCTATGTAGATGTGATAGAAATGAAAATCCTGCTGAAATTCACAATCTGGGGAAAATGTGACTGTTTAAAAAAAGTATTCCTGTAGCATGTTGGATGAAATACATCCAAGTCTTCCGTGAAACATCTTTTCTTAATTATACTAATTTAAATAAGCATCAACCTGATCAGAACGTGTTTCATGTATCGTTTATATTACCAAATTATGATGTTACTGTTTTACGTGAGATATAATAATAAAAAACGTTAAAAACGGATTTATTTGCGATAATCAGAATGAAAAATACAATTTTTTTTTTTTATATTTTATTGAAAAGACATACATAGTACATAAAAATAAACGACAAATTACATAGTGAAAACAGTGATGAAAAATTCTGCATAGTACATGTACTTTTCAATTAACATATTACATCTGAAAGACAAATCTGTACATTAAACAATGACCACTCCAATCCTTGAAGTAATGACATTATGTCTGGAACACTAAATCTAACCTAAAGACTCCTTGGCAAGTACATCTAATTCCTGATTGTACATCCTGCCACGGAATGTACACCTTACATTCTGAAAACACTACCCCCCCCCCCCTTCTTGCATGTCAAGCCACCTGACACGTAACAATCTTTATATGTAACTGTATATTGTATGAAATACTTCCATTATTCCATATTGAACAACATGATACGTTCAGTATCACTCAATGTATTGAGATAATATAAAATTCAATTCTACATGATTCATGTACAACGTAAACACCCAAACATATCACCTTCTCCAGGAAGGTATAAATATATACCTATGTTACAAACACTTTACAACACAACCAGTGAAAACACAAATACCTAATCCTATGTCATCCACAATTACCCTATAATATTATCAATTCAATGGTAACCTAAACCTACGGGCTCTAAAAGAGCTCCCATGAAAAAACAATATGTATTAAGAAAACAGGATAAGTCAAGCTTTTCTAAAAAAATTTCACCCATATCATTAAAACCACTACTAAGATGTAAGTCTGTTATCACAAAACAAAACATGGCATGACCTTCACACGTCGGTAAATACTGAAGCCTTCCTACCACACGCAATACTTCATGTGTATATATATATTCGCATTCACACAGTGCACCCATTTTGTCATTTCATTACACACATACCAATAATTTCGTTGCAGATATATAATATTCCATCACATTACGACGTCTGTCGTCCTTTGTCATTAGCATAATTAATAATTAAAATGAAGAACGTGTATCGTTCACAACACACAACCCGCTCATCATACAGTCAAAGGCACTTATGTCTCAGTACTATATTCATTCTCTTCCACACTAAATCCTTTCACACTGTCCTCATCGGAAGCCAGCCCACCGCGACCCCTTACATTGAAACTTAAATCCCATAAATCCCCTCAACCTAAAATTTCCGTAGCCCTCAGTAAACGCATTCTCCCCAATTCCCTCCATAAATTTCCCTATTACGACACTTAGTTCTGTAAAATGTCGCAGCTAACACCTTTATCCTCTCATCCACGCCCACCTCCCTCATGGCCCATGACGTATATATATAAAATCCGTGACCAAATAACCCACTGCATTCTCCACCATCTTACTCACCCCACCTATATCCAAACTTAAAGCCCCCAACACCGCAATCCTCCCCCACCCCACTAACCTGAACACCTTTCCTAACCAGACCGCACCACTTCTATACAGTCACAAAAATATACCGCATGCAAAATTGTCCCCATGCTTCCACACGCTCTACATTCCCCTCCCTCCCTTATCCTCCTATTGAATAGGAAAACCCCCAGACGGCAAAATCCCATGTAAAAATCTAAACATACCTCCCGAACACCCGTTTTACACGTAATTGTTTTAGACGCGTCCATATTTCGTTCCACGCATACATAGGGTATGCCCCTTCAACAGCAGCCACCACTGACCTACCTTCCACTCCTTCGAGACCCGCAATTTAACACACGACGGATCCCTCACTGTCATTAAAAAACCTCAACATGGCCTCACCAACTATTAAATCCCTACCCCACCCCACCGTTGCATATCTTACGTACTCGCACAAGTCCACCCCCACTCCCGCACCCCTCCTTATATAACTTCGTTTAGGTACACGCTCATCATCCTTTTTTCCAGAGGTAAAAGTCCGCCCTCCTCGACTGACCGAAGTGTTAACACCGCTCTACTTAACCATTCGCAGCCCGATCCCCATATAACCTAAAAACCCATGTTGTAAACGCTTCACCTCACGTCTCATCAGCGGGTACATGACAACGACATGCCATATCTTGCTGTACAATAGCACGTTCGTCACTATTACTCTTTGATGCAGCGTTAGTTGCGCCGCCCTCAAACCAACCAAGTCTTTTCAATACTCCATTCACTATTCTCACCGAATTCACCTCTTGAGCCACCCGTGTATTCCTCACATAAATATCCCACATATCATTAGTTGATCCACCACCTTCCACCCACCCCCTACCACCTCATCCCCCATTTGTACTATCCCTTAAGTCTAGAAACTTAGTCTTCTCAACATTAATTTTCATACCTGAAGCCTCCCCAAACACATCCACCACCTTAAACCCACCCTAAGCAAATCCCCATTACCTCTCACCAAAACAGTCGTGTCATCCACATAACCTACGATACCAGCCCCCCCTCCCCCCGGTCAGTACCCTCCCCACCTCCCGCAACACACCTCCGAATGGCCCTATAAAATGGATCCTGTATACACGCAAACAATATTTGTGATAGTGGGCAGCCTTGGCGCAGTCCCCGGCGCATCTGTATTTTAACTCCCAGCCTCCCATTAACCTGCACCCTCATCGATGCCCCCTGATACAATAATTTTGCCCAAGATATTATTTCTTCCCCAAATCCTTGCCAACGCATAAACCTCCATAACGCTTCCCTTTCTACACTATCATAAGCAGCCTTCCAATCTAACGCCAATACACCTCCATCACCCAACTCCCCCTGTTTCTCTATAAATTCTCGAATCATGCCATGCCCTTCATACATCGACCTTCCTGGCACCCATATTTGCCCCTTATCAATTACCTTGCCTATTACCCTCTTGATTCTGTTCCCTAATATTCTCGCAAACAACTTATAATCTCCACACATAAGCGAAAGTGGCCCGATAATCCATTACCGTTGACTGCTCCCCTTTCGGCACCAACACCACAACGGCCGTCCGTTGCTGCTCTCCCATTACCTTCAGCCGCCTTAAAGTATGTTAAACAGCCTTACTATAAAAAAAAACCTCAGAACCCCCCAATTCTTTACGTAGAAATCATTTGGCAGTCCGTCCCATACCCGGCGCTTTTCCCAAACTCACTCCTGGACAACGCCTGCCAAATCTCACACTCCGTAATCGGCCCACCTAATGTCACCCGATCTTGACCATCAAGCTCACACTGCACATACTCTCCCATTTCCCTCAATGCCACCTCACGGAAGCCCACACTTTGCGTATATAACTTAAACCAAGCGTCTACATATCCACTCATACCCTCTGTCGTTACCAATGCTTGACCCGCTCTATACCCTTCCATCCCTACATGTACGTTTAACCCCATCATCTCCATCGTCACTCTCCTCTTTCTCTGGCCTCTTAACACGCAAGCCGACGGCCGGTCACCCCATAGCACTTCTTCCCAATCCTCCCATAATTCGCACACCATCAAAACGCTCGTTTTGCAATACCCTAATACTCTCCTTTAAACCCTCAATGTCCTGCACTGATAGCTTGCTCCTCCTCTTGCATAACAGTCCCGCAGCTGCCCTTCAAGATATCTTTTGAAACCCATACTTTAACCGATTATCTTCCCTCCCACGACAAATATAATATTCTCTGATACGATTTTTAGCCACCGAATCCCACCAATTTACCATTCATCATCCTCCCGGCGCCTCATCCACCAACCGTTCCCACATATGCGCAAAAGACTGACGACATTCCTCACCCTGCAAAAGCTTCACATTTAACTTCCAATAACCTTGACCCCTTCTAGGCAATCCCTCCCATTCTAGGTCCACCATTACTCCTCTGTGATCCGAAAAACCGCGTCCACCACACGCACTCTGCTCACTATTACTGTTCGGGGCACATACAATCGATCCAGTCTTGCCGCATATCCCACGTCTAACAAAAAATGTTCTACAACCCCACCCTGTCCAACGTCCATTAACCCCACTTCCATTTAATAATTCCCCCAAAATCCCCAACAATACCCTGGCCCCTCTAGGTTCCACATCCTTACGCCTTATCACACAATTCCAATCACCACCAATTACAGCTACACCCGGCAAAGCACGCAAATAATAATACTAAACATCCT